GATAGGTAGACAGATATATAGATATCCGTTTTGCCGCACGCTTTGAATCAGACTAATCGTCTGTTTAATATCTACCACCCACAGACATGCGTACTGCGACGGCGTGAGTTTACGTTGATGGATATGATCAAGCCCTTCTCAGCCAGCGTCACGTATAGTGCAACTGGGGCTCCGGGTATGTGGGTGATATACATACACAATGATGTGTGTATCCGATAAATGTCCACATTAACCATGGACCCCAATAGCACCCGTCTGTCTATGCATCTAGAGATATACATCCTGGTCTGGCACAACTGAATGTGTATCCGATAAATGTTCACATTAACCATATTCCTCAATAGCACCGGTCTGTTTTATGCATCTATAGATATAAATCCTGGTCTGGCACAACCGTGTTTGCACCCGATAAATGTCCACGTTATGCATGGACCTCAATAGCACCCGTCTGTTTATGCAGCTACAGAAGGTAGATGTGACCATTCCACCACAAGTGTCTTATTGATGTAGATGGGAGTACACTTCTATATATAGGGATCATCGTCGATTTATAGCAAGCATCGTCTATTTATAGAATTCCACCTGCCTGTTCCATATCACACACTTGTCTGGATCGACGGACAGGGAGGCTAAAGGCTTAACCCTAAACCCTTCATTTACGTTGCTTGGGAAAGATATGACCTTACTATTAGAAATATAAATTGTCTATAAATGAGAACCCTCATTCGCTTGAATACACCGACGGTCTAGAAGGACAATTATTAGTCGACAAATTCATTGAGAATATCCTATATATAGAACTCGTGTATATATAGAACTGCTCATTCACTTGCCTATTATAGATGGTCAGGAGGGCCAACCCTCGACCATAATATTCATCTTACTTCTATATATAGAACTCGTCTATTAATAGAACTGCTCATTCTCTTGCCTATTATAGATGGTCAGGAGGAGCAATCCTCGACCAAGGCTTTCATTGAGATGGACGACATTGTGGTGGACGCTACGTACGAGGAGCTGATCTCATTGGCTAATATGGCATCGCAGGCGGCTGGAGGAGCCAATCAAAATGCAGAGAATTTAGACAAATGCGGGGACGACCCAGAGTACTCCAAAGTACTCCCGAGAAAGTCGTATAGAAAAACCCCGAATGCAGTTACATGGTAAGATTTTACTATCGGGGG